TTTATGCTGTTTCATATTATGAAAGAGTGTGTGTATATGTGTGTGTGTGTGTGTATAAAAAACACATGAATAACAGCAACTGGAATTATTCATTGTATTGGGATGAATTTGCCAAAATGAGCATTTAGCGTTTCCTGTTGACATTATGTTCCATTAGCTGTCGTCCTTCCCGGGGGCCGACTTACCTGCATTACATACACAAACAACCGAGCTGATTATGCTGTGGGACGCGACTCCAAAGGGCCCCAGCGGCCCTGCTGTCATTTTCGCCGTAGCACATCGTTTGCAAGTGCAGGCCTCTCTCTCCAGGCAAAGCCCAGCATAATCATTTCTCTAATGTTGATTTCCGGCCGCTTGCATTTGTTTGCTCGGTTATGATGTGTGGCACGCTGGGCCTCACCGTTACAATAATGTTTCATTTCGTGGCTTCTGCGGATAATCGGCAAAGCCACGTTTCACACCGTGCCGTCTGGAGTGGAAGTGGCTGCAAGTTCCCCCGCTGGCCGTATCTGCAGCAGTAGAGATCTGAACATGCTTATATTGGCTCTTCTGATTAATCACTTCACCACACCCCAGGGGTGAATTCAGTAAGCGCTGTGATCTGCAGAGATGCTATTGAGTGTTTTTTTGTTTTTTTCTTTTGCGAAAAGGTGTTTAATCAAATGGTCAGTGGTGCACTGTTAGTATGGATTGTGGTGAAAGTGGAGATCTTTGGCTTGGACTATCGCCAGCCAGCAGCACTGAGTATCTGTTGTGAGGTCAAAGATTTTTGTGTCAGTTGATGATCTTGGGGCCGAGGGTTAAACCAGAGCACCACTGACAACTTCCTGTGGAGCCACAGGACCAGATCACATTAAGACACAAGACTTCATATTCCATGACAGCATGGTGGTGCATCACATTTGCCTCATTTCGACCAACACAGAGCGGGTGCTGGAGCCGGTGCTGGGCTGGTTCTGGCTTGGTGCCTTTTGAGAACCTGCCTGCATTTCCACCGGTTTCTAACAGCAACAGAACAGAAATGTTACATAGGTGGAAGTGAATGTAAATTAAAGGTTAATCTGCATCTTGTTTTTGGATTTATTTTGCTCTGTTTTGGATTTGACATTTTTATAAGTTGCTGAACTGAAAAAAAATGTTTTCAGATTTGTTTTGCCTTGTCTCTATTGCCTGTATCCACCTTCTGTATGTGTGAGTGAGTTTATTCTCACTCGCTGTTTTACTGCTGTCCTTTAAAGGATCGTGCAATTAAAGAGTCTGCTAATAACTGAAGTTTGCTGTCCACCTCATGATCTTTGACACTCAAGCATCACAATATTTTATTTATTCCTCCTGTGACATGTTTATAATTTATTATTTATTCGATAATTCGTTTTCTACCGAATGAAAAATTAATTTTAATTTTTTAAATTATTGTAATAATTTTTTAATGCAAGTTAATATTTTATGTATATCTTATTTTCAGCAAATATAATCCATTCTGTTTTAAGCAATTTTACATTTTGTGTCTATAAGGTTCCATAAGGTCAGTTTATTGTCTATCACTGTTTTAATGCTGTCTTTTTAAGGATCACGCAATAATGATAAAAACCCGAACTTTGCTGTCTGATCTCTTCGCCACTCGAATGCCACAATATTTTAATTCTTTGACCTGCAACATATTTATACTTTATTATTAAATCTGGCCAGCAGATTGATCTTTCATTTTTCACAGAATGAAAAAACGATATAACGTTATTCCACTAATAAGCTGACAAGTTGTTTCACTGCTGGCACCGGTGACAAATCTATATCGGTTATGCAGTGAATGACCCGGCTATGTGGAAGGTTTGGACGCCACAGCACGTCCCACTTTCGGTGAGGTTCCAAATTCTGAGACCAGCTTTTCTGTGGTGCTGCACTGGAGCCGTTTTTTTGTGGTGGAAATGCACGGAACTAGTTCTAAATTGGGAAACAGTCCGGCACTGGAACTGGCACTGCGTTGGTGGAAAAGAGGCGTTTTTTTGTGTTGTTTCATTAGAACATGTGAGTGAGACAGTTGACAGGATCAAAGCGGCAGCAGGATTATCCACAATCCCAGGGTCACTGCCGTGGGTCCTGGCCAGGTTCCCCCATTTTATGGGAACTGGATGCTTCTGCGATCCACGTTCTCCTGTTTCTAAGCACCACACATCTGTCATTTTTATTTATCCTCTCAGGCCGAAAGCGGCAGCTCAGCAATAGCATTACAAGAGTTGCCAGGTGTGTCTACACCTTTTTTATTCTGCCTTCTCCTCGTTTGCAAAGTTTGGACTAGCAGCCCCGTGTTTATGGGCTTGTTGTGGACACCATCTGAAAGCACTTGGCAGGATGCGCACCATCTCTCCAGTTAAGGTGGACTGGGGGTGCTGTTCACTGCATGTTTACTCTGTAAACTGTAATTTAATGTGAGTGTCCTGGCATTCTTACCTGCCTCTCCATCCATCTGGGTTTCCCATCAAAACAGCTTTTATCCTCAGCAGCAGAAGGAGAGACGTGTGCTGGGATACGATGAGAGCATGCAGTCAGGCCTCCGGTCACTCCGCAGACACTGGGATGGGAGATCTATGCAAGAGGGATCTGCCGAATTCCCAAGAGTGGAGTTTATCTCCAAACCGTATGCTTGTGCACAGCGACCCCACACGCTCCAGCTCTGAGGCACTTCCCACAGCTCCAAAATGCACCACGGGTTGTGTTGGGTGAATGCTGGGCAAGGTGGGGGACATCAGCCGCACGGCAGCAGGCATCACAAGCAGCTCGGAGTGTTGATCTGTCACAGGCAGACTGACAGATTGTAATGAGTGCTCATGGCTGTCGCATTACGGGGCCGGCGTTACAGGAAGAGGGAGCCGCATTTCTCGCAGCATGTTTTGTGCATGCCTCAGGTGAAACCGGCCTACCTGAAAGGAACAGGGAGACTCGTGTTTTACAGAAGTAAAATATTGTCGAGTGGAACAGGTGTGTTGCAATTAATGTTTTCACATAAAATACAGCTGTTTATTAATGCAGTGCACTGAAGATGAAGCAAACCGAGAGTCTCAGGTGGTTACTGCTGCAGCTATCAGGGAAGGCTGTCTTGGGTGTGATCCGTAGGCCCGGCCTGGCCCTCCTACCTCTTCTGGTATCTGCTGGTGCCTCAGGGGGACTGCAGAGGTTATTGAATGAGTGTGGATGTCCTCTCCCGGCACCAGCTCCCTGAGTCCATTTAAGACCTTAGCAGGGAGTCCATGAGTCAGATGCTGCGGTTTCGCATCTAGTTGAGACCATCAGGTGACTCTACCATCACGGGTTTCGCTGTGGTGCAAATTACACTAATTAATTACACTTACTTATTCATTATTGCTCACATTTCATCTGCATTGCAGACTTCTAAATGACACCGTGCAGAGGGTGTCTGTAGGGGCGTCCCAACGGGACAGGACATACTCAATGGCTCTGTGGTCTTAATTAGAGGTAATATTTGCATAAATTAATTAAACATGCTGTTCAAGAGACTGTTGCACTTTTAAGAAATCACCTGTCTTTGATGTCAGGTGATTACTCTAATGATTATACCTTGTTGTCTAGCTGTGTCCTCTACCTCCAAGATCTCCCCAGCCCCGCTGAGTACATAGGCACCCTCGCATGCTCCGTCTTTAGTGGCCGACCTTGAATTCCCCCCAGAATGATTCTCTCTGTGGTCGATTATGTGCATTTCCCACCGCGGGAGTGATACCCTGCCCTGTTCCAGAGTAGAGCACATGCTCGCAGTTGGATCTTGCCATCATTCAATAACCCTTTGCGGGTTGTCCTTCCCATTCAAGTTTCACCCCAAGCTGCACTGAGTGGGACCCTTTGCCTC